GCTATGCTGTCGGTCCCCGAGGGGCACTCTCACCCACGCAGCTACGCTTGTTCATCCGACGCATCACGCAAAGCCTCGGCAGACATCAACGGTAACAGTAGAGCTATGCTATGCGTGGGCCTCCCAGGGGTTATTCCCACCCATGAGCTATGGTGCCGCAGCCGACGTTTGTTGAGAGACGGCCTCGCCAACCTCCTGCTTCCCCCCTCAGGGGCTTCCTTCTCGTCCCCGTTCTCCCCGCCGCACCTCGCGAACCTTCTCAACCGCCACTCTTGTGGCGGAGGGGTGGGGATGCGATTCGTCTCGAGGATCTATCTTTGGGGGGTCGGGAGTGCAGCGCCCGCAGCGTGCCGCCGCCACGGATGGCAGAAACCACCCCCGAGCAGGGTGGACCCCCCCCCAGGCGGCCACCACTCCCGTGATCTGGGTACCATACTCCTGCCTCGGCCTTGGCATCGCTCGGCGAGGGGTGGACCCCCCCCAAGCGGCCAACACTCCCGTGATCTGGGTACCCTACTCCTGCCTCGGCAGGGGAGGGCGTCAGTCATGGGGGTGGTGACCGCTTCGGGGGGGGGGCTCCGTGGGCAGGGGGTGAGGCCTTTCGGCCACCCACCTTGGCGGGTGTGGCCGCCACCACTCTCAGCAAGAGTCGGGGGTCCCGCCGCCGCCTGGAGGGCACAAACCTTCCTCCCGCGCGGTAGAACTTTCCCGGGCGGCCCCAGGATCAACGTGCTGGGAGCCCTACACTTGTTTCTCAGGCGAGGGATCCCGCGTTGGACCCCAGGGACGTCTGTATGGGGGCTCCTGTGAGCTGAGGGGGAGGCCTTTGTGCCCTCCCCGCCAGCGAGAGTGTAGAGGCGCCGCCGCCGCCGTCGCGCACAGCTTCGACGCCACCTCCACTGCTGCCAGTCTTGTACTTCTACCCACCAGGGCCATGTTTCAGTCTCCTACGTTCAGGAGCGACAAAAGGACGTACACGTACATGAATCCACGCTGGTTTCGAGAGTACGCATTGCGCAAGTGTTCGTATAACGCGGCCGGTCTCGCGGATCGAGGGGCCGTGTTCATGTACATAGCTGGGCGCGTACGTCCTTTGTGGGTTCCCTATACGTCCGTGCCAACTCTTCCCCGCACTCTGTGGGGGCAGGTGGAGCCACGCGCCTACCCTCTTGTGAGGGTGCCGTGGACAGCCGCCATGTCGTTGGCCGCGGTGCCGTGTGCGCCAGCGCGCCGGAGCTTCTACACTCCACCGCTGGTAAGAACGGCGCCTCAGACGAGGGGGGCCGTGGGCGCTCTCCAGGGCGCTGGTCTGAGGTGGCCAGTAGACCCGAAGGGGAGAGAACCTGACCGCCAGCACCCCACTCTTATCTCCTGTCTCCTGAGGTTATGTTCGATGCAGAGATCTCCTTTTTCTCCCTCCTCCTCCTCCTCCTCCATATCTGTCTACTTTAACTTGTCGTCGAACTATTTTATTTGACTCCCCCAGGGCTGGCTTTCCGGCTTTCGAGAAACCCCGGGGGAAGCGGCTAAGTTCGGATAACACCAAAACCGTTCAAACATCTGGAAAACAGGAGATAGAGGCGGAGGAGGAGGAGGAGGAGGAAAAGGAGGAGGAGGAGGAGGAGGAGGACGAGGAGGAGGGGGAGGGGGAGGGGGAGGGGGAGGAGGAGGAGGAGGAGGAGGAGGAGGAGGAGGAGGAGGAGGAGAAGGAGGAGGAGGAGCAGGAGGAAAACCATTGTAAAGCCAAGAGTCATCAACGATGTTGGAAGTAACCCTCCCTCCAAGCTCCCTCTTCATAGGCCCCCACAACGGCTCATCTCCATTGAGGGAACGGCCTCGTCTTAACATTGTTCTCGGGATTTCAACGCCACGTATCAACCTGACTGCTGCGTCTGGACGATCCGGAATCGTGCCAGAGCGCCATTTTTTGGATGTCAACGCCGCGAATCAACATAACTGTTGCACCCGCATGCTCCTGACTTCTTCCAAAACATTTTTTCTATTACGGAATCCGTGAAACTCCTTGCAAATTTTGAAAACGAATTTGCGCGGCGCAAAGGCGAGATCCACATTTTGAAAACGAGCCGCCCTCAATCCGTGAAGCTCTTGCAATGTTTGAAGCGAATGTGCGCGGCGTTAAGGCGAGAACCACATTTTGACGCCCTTAATCTGTGAAGCTCTTGTAGAATGTTTAAGACGAATGTGCGCGGCGCTAAGGCGAGAGCCACATTTTGGAAAGCACCCGCCCTCAATCCGTGAAGCCCTTGCATTTTTCAGAAGAATGTGCGCGGCGCTAAGGCGAGAGCCACATTTTGAAAACGACCCGCCCTCAATCCGTGCAGCTCTTGCAAACTTCTAAAACGAATGTGCGTGGCGCTGGGGCGAGAGCCACATTTTGAAATCGACCCGCTCTCAGTCCGTGAAGCTTTTACGAATTTCTAAAACGAATATGCGCTGCGCCAAGGCGAGATCCACATTTTGAAAATCACCCGCCCTCCATCTGTGAAGCTGTTGACACTTTTTAAGCTTCAGAATCATAAGCGGTGGGGACGTCTCAGGCGAAACGCCCGGCCCGCCTTAAAACCGGCATTGGGGTGCGACAGGGAGGGGTTATACATATATATATATATATACATTCAAGAAGGAACCATGGAGGACGAGGAGGAAGAGGAAGGAGGAGGATGAGGAGGAGGAGGAGAAGGAGGAGGAGGAGGAGGAGGACGAGGAGTAGGAGGAGGAGGAGGAGGAGGGAGGAGGAGGAGGAGGAGGAGGAGGAGAAGGAGGAGGAGGGAGAGGAGGAGGACGAGGACGAGGACGTGGACGAGGACGAGGACGAGGAGGAGGAGGAGAGGAGGGAGGAGGAGGAGGAGGGAGGAGACGGAGGAGGAGAGGAGGAGGAGGAGGGAGAGGGAGGAGGAGGAGGGAGGAGGAGGAGGAGGAGGAGGAGGAGGAGGAGGAGGAGGAGGAGGAAGAGGAGGAGGAGGAGGAGGAGGAGGAGGAGGAGGAGGAGGAGGAGGAGGAGGAGGAGGAGGAGGAGGAGGGGGCGGCGGGCGCACCCGGCGCTCCATGGCCCAGCGCCCAAAGGGCCCAGCGCTCCAGGGCCCAGCGGGGCGCTGCAGGCGTTGTGTCCGCGTTGCCGATGATCGGCCGCGCGCCCAGGGGGGAAACGAGAGGGGGCGGGTATTCCCAGGAGGCGGTGGGACCTCTCAGGTGACCCTCTGGGCCTCCCGAAGAGGCCCGCCCCTGTCTTCCTGGAAGGCTCAGAACAAGCTCCTCGGAGGGCCGGAGGCCTCCTCGGCCTCCCGGGAAGGCCTCCGCCCCCTCCCTCGCTCTCCCCCCCTGGGGCGCGACGCCGATATATGAGGAGCGGGAAGCGCAGCTATAATGAGGCAAACCGTAATACAAGACATACGTTCGAGTAGGGGGCCGACTGCGGCATTGATTTACCCCCAACATGTTGGTTTTCGTCGCCCCTACAACAAATAATCCTGGCAAAGGACCCTAACATATGTAGCTATGGGTACCGCCGCGGTGAAAAACTCTTTCGGTGGAGCTCACTACGGGGCCACGAAATGCGCGAAAAGAGCGCCAAAATGTGGGCGGGGCCGCCATGAGGGCCCTGGCGCTGGGGCCGACCGCAAGGGGCGCGGAGGTCAGACGAAACGGGTTACATGCTGATGTGACCCGTTGCGGCTGACAGGCACTGGGAGAAGCAGGAGAAGAAATGCGGGCGTGGCATGCCAATGCAACCGCTAAGGCCTTCCGTGGAGCTCCCTATAGGGCCACGAAAGGTGTGATGGGTGTGCCAAAGGTGAGGGGGGTGGCGGCATGCGAACGCAGCCACTGGGGCCTTCGGCAGAGCTCCCTACGGGGCCATCAAGCGTGTGATGGGTGTGCCAAAGTGAGTGGGGGGGCGGCATGCGAACGCAGCCATTGGGGTTTTCAGTGGAGCTCCCCATGGGTCCACGGAGCGTGTGAGTGGTGTGCCAAAGTGAGGGGGGTGGCGGCATGCCAACGCAGCCACCGGGGCCTTCGGTGGAGCGCCCTATGAGGCCATCAAGCGTGTGAGTGGTATGCCGAGATGGGCGCGGCGGTGCCATGCGAACACAGTCATTTGGGCCTTCGGTGGAGCTCCCCATGGGGCCACGAAAAGTGTGATGGGTGTGCCAAAGTGAGGGGGGTGGCGGCATGCGAACGGAGCCACCGGGGCCTTCGGCAGAGCTCATTATGGGGCCACGAAGCGTGTGAGGTGTGTTTGTGTGTGTGTGTGCCGACAGGGACGAGGCGGTGCCATGCGAACAGAGGCACTGCGGCCTTCGGTGAAGCGCCCGATGGGGCCACGAAGCGTGTGAGTGGTGTGCCGAAACGGGCTCGATGGTGCCATACGCGAGCCCTCCCACTGGGGCCTTAGGTGAAGCTCCCTATGAGGCCACGAAACGCGTGAGGGGTGTGCCGAAATGGGGCGGCGGTGCCATGCGAACCTTCCCACTGGGGCCTTCGGTGGAGCTCCCTATGGGGCGACGAAGCGTGTGAGGGGTGTGCCGAAATGGGGCGGCGGTGCCATGCGAACTTTCCCACTGGGGCCTTCGGTGGAGCTCCCTATGGGGCGACGAAGCGTGTGAGGGGTGTGCCGAAATGGGGCGGCGGTGCCATGCGAACTTTCCCACTGGGGCCTTCGGTGGGGCTTCCTATGTGGCCACAAAACAGGTGAGAGGTGTGCCGAAGTGGTAGACTGATGCAGAGGCAAGGATGGTGAGGAGGGAGGAAGGGGAGGAGGGAGGAGAGGAGAGGAGAGGAAGGAACGCGGGGTGGTGTCTCTTCAGAACGAGGACCCACATCCACAGGATGGTTGGGATTGCTTTTCGTCGACCCTACAACAAAACAGGTAGTACGTTCGCAGATCTACTAACATCACTCGTCTTAAACAGCCGTAGGCTAGACGAGAATTTCAAGCTTGGGTTGTATCAATTCTGCAATCGATCCCCCACCCGAGAGACGAGGAGCGGGAGGCGCAGCTCCGCGCCGCCGCCCCGGAGCTAGAGGCCGCCCAGCTGGAGGGCGACGAGGGCGCGGAACTGGAGCGAGACCGCCCCGTCGCCGAGGCCGATGGACAGATTTTCCACAACCGCTACCGCATGTAGGACGGGGGAGAAGGGAGGACGAGGAGGTCCTCCTCCTCCTCCTCCTCCTCCCTCCTCCTCCTCCTCCTCCTCCTCCTCCTCCTCCTCCTCCTCCTCCTCCTTCTCTGCCAACACGTCGCTGGGGGCGCAGTTCCTCCTCGTCGACTCCGACGGCGTCTCCCTCACGGACCCTGCCGCGTTTGAGGAGGCCACCGTGCGCACAAGGGCGAAGTGGCACGAGAAGCAGGTCCACACTGCAGCGTGGCGCGCACGGAGCAGCAGCCAGCCCCGAGAGCGAGGAGCAGCTCCAGCGCCGCGAGGCCGCCGCGCGCCGCCGCGCCGCGCTTTGGGGCGACGTGCCGGGAACGGCTCGTGCTGAACGGCCTGCGCACTCCGGGGCGCTGGTCTGGCCGGGCACGCTGCCGGGCAGCCTGGCGAGATTGCCGACGCACTGGTCCAGCATTGGTGCGCCGTCTTCCTCTCGGGCTGGACGAAAGGGGGGGATTGGGAAAGGGGGGGTTACGAAATCTGCTGCATGCAGCTGGTTTCGGCCTCCCCGAGGGGCCCATTCCTCGATACATAGCCGCCTCCGGCGCTGGGAGGCGCCGGGAAAATCAGCTACGTGAGCTGATTTTCACCCCCCCCCTTTGCTATCCCCCCCTTTCGCCCGACCCGATCCTCGGCGAGGACACCTGCGGTGATGACATCGACCGTTTCTTGGACGCGTCGATGCCCGTGTTTCCTCACATGGGCTTGCCTATCCCGTCGCAGGCGCAGCTGACTGCCGCCTTCAAGCGCGCACGCCGCGCGGCTCCTGGGCCCGACGGCTTGCCAGTGGACGCATGGCTGGCATGTCCACGAGCGACAGAGGCCGTCTTCCCCATACTGTTGAAGCTCTTCGACGGGGCTGAACTTCAGCGATTTCGCTTTCTTGCCGAAGGCTTCCGCCGAGGCCGGACGCAGCGACCTCATCGACTGCATCCGACAGCCCGGCCAGACCCGCACCCCTAGCCTGAAGAGCCAGGGCGCAGAGGCCATCGCGGCGGCCATCACTTGGAATCCGAACAAGGGCGCCCTCGAGGGCGCGAAGTTATTCGCGCTTCGCGCTTCGCGGTTCGGCTCCGATTCCTCATCCTCCTCTTCTCCCCTGAGTGGCGGCGCGAGAGCGCGAAGTTATTCGCACTTCGCGCTTCGCGCAGCGCGAAGCGCGAAGCTGGGAGCCCTTGTGGCCGGCAGGAGCTCCGCGAAGCACAGCGTGCAGCTGGGCTCGGAGGCACGCGCGGCCTCGCTCGACCCTGCCGCGCCTGTGCAGCATCCTGTTTTCCTCGGCTTTGGTTTTGCTTCGGCTCTCCCGAACCTCAGCAAGGGCTCCCCCGAGGGCGCGAAGTTATTCGCGCTTCGCGCTTCGCGGTCCTCGTTCCTTCTCCCCCTCCTCCTCGTCCTCCTATTCTCCCTTTGGGAGGGCGGCGCGAGAGCGCGAAGTTATTCGCGCTTCGCGCTTCGGGGAGCGCGAAGCGCGAAGTTGGGAGCCCTAGAGGGAAAGGTCCTCGAGCGACTCAACCTCCCTCTCGGCTATCGCCTGGCCGTCAGTGGCCTATGCTCGCACATGGTCGGTGTTGTCCGGATCGGCGGTCGACGAGAAGTCGCGCTTCCAATTTTGTCTGGGGTCGCACGAGGCTGCCCCTTGAGCTGAACTCTCTGGGCTCTTGGGCTTGATCCATTCCTGCGCCCTTTGCCGCGCGTCCTCTCCCCGTCGTCCTCCTCCCCCTCCCCCTCTTCTCATCCAGGCCAGGGTGCAGGGTGAATACCTGCGCGTTTTTCCGCCCCGCCGCGGCCGGCCCTTCCCGCGGCCGCCCTGCGACTAGCAGACGAATAGGACCGGGATCATTTCTCAAAGCGGCCGCAGCTGGCCACGCGCAGAAGGGGGCAGGGGGAGGGGGGAAGGCTTCTTAGAAGCACCCCTGCTTCTTAGAAGGCGCGGGCCTTCTTTGTAGATGTAAGGCCGGCGCCTTCTAAGAAGCAGGGGTGCTTCTAAGAAGCCTTCCCCCCTCCCCCTACCCCCTTGTGCGCGCCACCAAGGCAGGGCACATCCGTGGCCTCCGCGAAGCTCCGTCCGCAAGCGCCCCCGGGTTCCGCGCCGGAGGACTGGTGCGCTCGGGGCCCGTGCGGAGGATATCGGCATGGTCTTCCGCCAGCTCGCGCGCGTGCGGGAGTTGGAGCCCCTTTTTTCGCAATTGCGGCAGGTCGCATGCCTCCGCTTGCAGCCGACAACATGCGTTCTCGTCCCCCTCCGGACCTCACTCGCCCCCGCCCTCGCCGAGCAGCTTCGGGCGGAGCTGTGCATGTGGGCTCCCGGATGGGCCATTTCTCAATTTTGTTGGAAGGCAAAGTATCTCGGGACATGGCAGGGCCCCGAGGCCACTCTTGCTGATGATTGGCAGGCTCCCGCCCTGAAGTGGAGTGCTAGATGCATGGAGCTTGGTGAGCTGCAGTCGTCTGTCGACCTGGCATCGCGATTGTACAGTTCTGCGGTGCTCACTTGCACGTCATATGTGGTACAGTTCTTTCCAATCGATAAGGCTCTGAACGATCGTGAGCTCTGGGGTCTCCACAAGGCACTGCACCTCCCCCCGAACTCGTTCTCTCGCTCCGAGTTCCTCTCCCTGGCGAGTTAGTTTCCTTCCCCCTCCCCCACCTTTCTTCTCACGAATGCCATGGCGCGCGCATGGAGGTGCGCGTCCGTTACGCTAGACACGATTTGGGGGGCGCTGTATCGGCGATTGGAGGCCGCCGCTCAGGAGTCTCTGAGCCTCCCCGCTCTCAGCAGTGGCACGTGGCGTGCACCGTGCCGGGCCCGCAAGCATACCATTGTGCAATACTATCACTAGCTTGCGTCCGCCGCACCAGCTTCGAACCCTCCCCTTCCTTCATCGCACCTTTGTCTTGCCCAACAGCGGGCGCGCGGTGCCGTGCGCGCTGCGCTCGCACCTAATCGTCGACCTCGGATGCGGGGAGTGTTTTTCGGCGCTCCCTTGCAGGCTTCGCTTGCCCTGACCAGTTGCAGCTGCTCATTGGCCGGCGCATGCGCACGCGGTTTCCTCGTCCAACCCCCTTGCGACTCAGGGAGCGGCGGGACATGGTGCGAGACATCTTGGGCTGGGCTCCACCCATTGTGCGATGGCCGTGCATCAAAACGATTGTGGGTCGATGGACGACCTATCACAGCATGCACGTCACGGATTCTAAGTGGAGCTGCATTTTCGGGTGTCCTCAGCCCGATTGTATCGCACACTATTTGAAGTGCCCCCTCCTCAGTCATCTCGTTTGTCGTCCTCGAGCTGTCGTCTCGTTGTGTCCCCTCCTCCGGCTCGGGCTTGGTTTACCTGTGCAGTATCCTGCGTTTGACCTCACTCGGGAAAATGCCATTCTGGCCACGGCCCCCAGCTTCTATATATATATATATATACATACAAGACTGCAGTGGCGCTTCGCGCCATGCACCTTGGTCCTTGAAGATTGGTATGCAGGCGGAAATTGCAGGAAGGTCAAGCGGACAATTTTGCGATAAGTCCTTGCTGCCTTTTCTGGCATCGCCGTTATAATAATGTTGTTCGTTACCCCTCCTCCATGCGTATTTTTCTTCATTCTCGCCATACCCTGGGTACTCTCCCCATCCTCCTCAGCTCTTTTTGCGGAGGCTCCTCCCTGGAGAGCCTCTGGGGGCCTCACCAAAGTTCTCAGGCTTTCTTAAAGCCTTCTGGAGGCCTCCTGGGCGTGTTCTGGGGGCCTCTGGGGCTTCCTACGGCCAACCTGCCTCTAACCGCAGTCTCCCTGAACGCCCCGGTCACGATTTGGAATGCTTCGGAGGGTGTCATGGGGCCATTTTGGGCCGCCACTCTTAGGGCCATTTTGGACCCCTGTTGTGCCGTTCTGGGGCTCTCTTGGACTGCCTGGAAGCCCTTTCGGATGGTTGCGGGGCGATTTTGGAGCCTCCCAGGCGACTTCGGACGCCCAGAAGACCGCTGTCTTGGAGCGTCGGGAAGCCGAAAAGAGGAGAACCCGAAATTCACCAAAAACCTACATTAAATCGACGATTATTCCCTCTTGGGGCCTTCTTGGGGGTGCTCTTGGAGGCCTCTTGGTACGTTTTGGAGCGACCTTTCGGGGTATGACGGCTTCTTAGAGCGCTCTTGTGCTGTCTTGGAGTTCTCTGGGACGTCTCCGATGACCCCCCTGATCGCCCTAGGTGTGCTGCGAAGGCTTGGCAAAACGCCCTGCGAGGCCTGGGGGGCCGCTTCGAGGCCCGTCCGAAGGGTCCCAAAGCCCCAGATCCCGGGAGTCCAGTTTTTTTGGGGGGGTGACGGGTTTTCCCCCCGCCCGGGCTTGTAAAAATATAGGAAGAGGAATATATACACATATACATATATAAATATATACACACCACGTGGCCAAGGAGATGGCCTCTCATCCCGACGGGCGCCCTTTAACTCTGCCCCAGCAGCTAAATGCCCTTAAACCGGCATTAGCCAAGATGCCCAACAATTACTCGATTCTTCCGCCTCCGCCTGGTTCGGCTAGGCCTTACCCCTGGCTGCAACCCACGAGGCGTTGAGTGCCCTGAGGCCCGTGGACTCTTGAGGTACTGGCACTCCTCCTCCTCCTCCTCTTCCTCCTCCTCCTCCTCCTCCTCCGCCTCCTCCGCCTCCCCATCCTCCTCCTCCTCCTCCTCCTCCTCCTCCTCCTCCTCCTCCTCCTCCTCCTCCTCTTCCTCCTCACTTCCCCCCTCTTTCACCTGGGGCAGTGGTAGTGGAAGGTGGGCCCATCCGAGGCGGAGGCCGCGGCGCTGAGGGACGGCCGCGGCGCCGCCGTCGCCGGGGCCGCCGCGCTGGAGCCGGAGCTGACGCGCGCGTGGCTGCGGGAGAACCTGGGCCCCGGCGAGGCGCGCGAGGCTCGGAGGGCCAAGGTCATGGTGGGCCTATTCTCCACCACCGCCACCAGAAGTCGGAGGGGGGAAGGAGGTGGAGGAGGAGGAGGACGAGGAGGAGGAGGAGGAGGAGGAGCAGGAGGAGCAGGAGGAGCAGGAGGAGGAGGAGGAGCAGGAGGAGCAGGAGGAGCAGGAGGAGCGAGGAGCAGGAGGAGAGGAGGAGGAGGAGGAGGAGGAGGAGGAGGAGGAGGAAGAGCAGGAGGAGGAGGAGGAGGAGCAGGAGGAGCAGGAGGAGCAGGAGGAGCAGGAGGAGCAGGAGGAGGAGGAGGAGGAGGAGGAGGAGCAGGAGGAGGAGGAGGAGTAGGAGGAGGAGGAGGAGGAAGAGGACCCCCTCCCCCTCCTACTTCTGGTGGTGGCGGTGGAAACAAGCCCACCAGGTCAGAGGAGGAAAGGGGAAAAAGAAAAAACGCCATAGACATATTTTTTGGGGCGCTCCAAGCCAAGGCTTGAGCCAAAATGGCTACGGCTCAAGGCATTCTGGCTCAAGGCTGCTTGTGCCAAGCAGCTAGGGCTGGCGCGGGCCTCTCCCTCTCCCCCTCCGGGCCAATCGCGGTCGCTCCTCCTTCTCTCCCCTCGGACTCGGGGGCGCATGGCCTCGCAGCCCACGACGGCGGTGACCGGATGCAGCGCCGCGAGCGTGGCGACCCTCATGCGAGCGGCCGAGGCCGAGGCGCTGACCGCTCTGGGGTCGTTGATAGCGTCCAACGCCGCGCTCGAGAAGAGCGTGCCCCAGAGGAAGCAGGACACGAAGATGAATCCGGAGCCCACGGGGCCGCTGCAGGACAGCCCGCAGGACAGCCAGAAGAGGACCCAGAGCGAACTGAGGTTGTTGATCGCCGAGAAGGAGGCGCTTCTTCGGTCGATTCTACGACCCCGTGGCGCGGCCTGTGGCCGGCCTCCCATTGGCGCTCGGCCGCTTCTGAGCTCCGGTCAGACCTCTCCGTCAACTCCGAAGAGGCTCCCAATTTCCCTGTTGCCCGGCAGCCCGTGCAAGACGGCGAGGACACCGCAGGGGGCGAGGCTGTCTCTGATCTCTTGGAGGGAGGTGGAGGCGCGAAACCATCGGGAGGTCCTGCAGGAGCTCTCGAAGCTGCGTCCGGACGACCCGCACAACCTCTCGACGAGGCTGGAAGCAGAGCCCCAGGAGGACCAGGAGGACCAGGACTGGGAGGAGAGGGTCGACCCCCACACCCTTTCGACGAAGCGGACGGCAGAGCCCCAGGAGTACAGAACCAGGAGAGGGGCAAGGCTCCAGCCCCTTCCGAGGGCGATCGCGGCATGTGGACCTGCTACGGCGACGGCGTCACCGTTCTGGTACCCCTGCTTCCAGAGCTGGCGGACGACTTCAGCCCCGATTGGGACCCCATGACGAGCCCTCCGAGTCCCACAGCGTACCCGACGAGCCCTTAAACCGTGGCTCCGTGAGAAAGACTACCGCATGGAGATTGGCTTCAACAAGTTCCCCCTCGGATCGTACCTGTACAAGTCTGGCCGCAATAAGTTCCCCCTTGGACCGTACCCTTACATGTACTCCTTTCTCTCCATGGTCACACCTGCCCTTGCTGGATCACGGTGAGGGCTTCGATGTTCCGGATCCCGTCGACGAGGGCTTCGATGCTCCTGATCTTCTCGAGCTGTGGTATGCGGATCGCTTGCGCCCGCTGGGCTTGTTCGAGATGTTCCCGACCTCCACGGCCGGCGGGGCGCTGGCGCCGGAGGCTTCCTCTTCAGGGCCTCCGGCGTTGGCTGCTCCGGAGCCGGGCGACACGGCGGGCGTTACGACGGCGGTGGCGTCCTCTCGCTCTTCAGGGCCTTCGGCGTTGGCTACTCCGGTGGCCGCTGCTGGCTGCTCTCCAGGGCCTCCGGCGTTGGCGACTCCGGTGGCCGCTGCTGATCCCCTCCCCGCGGGTGTTGGCCAGGAGGAGGCTCAGGCCTATGTGGAGGCGCTCAGTCTGGTCAGGGTCCTCGCCAACGCCCCCGACGCCACGTTCCTGAACATCGTGGGGCACCTGCGCGCCCAGGGGCGCTTCTTCTCGATGCACGGGAGCGCGGGGCAGGGTGCTGACGTTCGCCGCGCGGCCATCCACCGAGGATTGGGCTTCGAGAGGGCGGCTCGTCTCATCGAGGAGCGGGCTGCGGAGATGGGAGGGGGGCCTCAGTAGAGGCGCCCGCGCTGAGGCCGAGGGCGACTTCCGGCTGGAGGCTGCCTCGGCGCCGCGCTGCGCCCCAGTGTCCCGCGGGCTGCCCGGCCGCGGTGCGCTGCCCTGAGCAGAGCAAGGTTGGGAGGCCGCCTTCATCGCAGGCCTCATCTTCTTTTTCGCGATATCTATCACTGCTTCGTTGACTTCGTCAGCTGTTCGGTCACCCGTCGATGTGTCATCCTGGTGCTCAAGAGGCTTCGGTATTTCTCCTTGTTTTGAGTCTGGGGCGACTCAGTGCATCTTATGATATGGCTCTGGCTGCCGGTGGTGCTTTTCGGTCGATGGCGAGTCCCGTCCCAACATAAATCATTTTGGCTGAACCTTGGGGGCTCTTCGCACGAATGTCGATGCACGTTTGGTCGTGCGGTTCGATCGCTGTCTTGCTTCGCAGGTCTACCTGAGCTGGGCGTGGGATTCTTCGTGGTGGGCCTGAGCCTATACTCATCTTCGTAGTGCATATTCTGATCAAGTTTCTGGAGGTGGCCGCGCTCTTCATCCCAATTTTGCTCCTCCTCTAAGGCTGGGCTGCGTCGCCGCATTTCGTTTCTTGTCGCTTTGCCTCTTGTCGTCTTGTCTCGTCGTTCTGTCGCCTCCTGTCTCGTTTCCTCTCCTCCCGCTTTGTCGTTTCTGCGCTTTGGGGTCGTCGTTGCTTCCCCCTCGGCCATGTCTTCCTCCTGTTCTCCCTCGTTCCCTCGTCGCCCTCCGGCTGTAAGTGAGGAATAAAACGCCTCTCGAATGCAACTGCTTTTTCCGCCAGTGCTTGAGAGGTGTATGTATATGTATATGTATATGTATATGTATATGTATATGTATATGTATATGTATATGTATACGTATATGTATATGTATATGTATATGTATATGTATGTGTGTATGTGTATATATATATATATACATATATATATATATATATATATAGAGGGGGGCGCTCCGCGCGGATTTCTGAGATCCGCACTGGGCCCCCCGCCGCGGCGCCTCTGGCGCCGCCACTGGCGCGGTCCGCGCGCCAGGGGGTGGGGTCCAGCGCAGATCCCGGAAGTCCGCGCGGAACGCCCAAAAGTTTATGTTGATTGTGCTCTTTCTCCGTCTAGAGGAAGTAAGGTACCTACACCGCTGACCCTTCGCTCTGGCGCGGAGCGCGCCAGAGTTAGCGGAGATGAGGCTCGGGGGGAACGCGTCGAATCCCAATCGCCCATGCATCGCCGATGGGGGCGCCGCCATGGCGGTTCCGGCGCCGATTCGAAGAGCCCGCGCGAGCCTCCCAAAGTCTGTGCTCCTGTGTCCTGAGGGGCAACAGGGGGGGGGACTGGCCCAGGGGGGATGAAAGACTTACAATCGGCGATACGTTGCCGAAATATCGGCGACAGCCCCGAGGCTCAGGCGCCCTTCTCACGATGCAGTCGAGCATCTAATTAAGACACGTCCTCTTCGAAAAACTGGGCCAGCGTCTCTTGACCGACGTGCCGGAAAGCTGGTCCAGTGTTTTGAGCACGTTCACCCGTCCAGCGTCAACAGCATTTGGGGAGTTGGCCCAGATTTTGAAATTATTATGTTTTTGATTTTGTTTTCGGGGGGTGTGCAGGTCAGGAACCTCCGAGATCCTGTGCGCGTTGCGGCAGGCTTGTGTCCCTCTCCGAGGCAGGCCGCAGGGCCGAGGGCGGCGAGGAACCGGCGCCGGGGGACGCCCTGCAGGCGAGGGAGGACGAGCTCTCAGAGCGCAGCCGCGCCGCAGACAAGCGTCTGCAGGAGCTGAGCGTGAAGGGCAAGGAGCTCAGCAGGAACCGAAGGGGAACAAAAGCAGCAGAAACACTGGAGCCGGCTAGGGGTCTGAGGTGGCCCAGCACTGGTTCCAGCCAGTAGGAAGGGGAGGCAGGTTCGAGATTCTGGGTTCGGGATTTATTTTCGCCTTTTCCAGCTTCGTGGCCGTATTCGGGCCCCGGGATAAACAAAGACGGGTCCAGGGTGAACAACTGCACCAGATGGGCCCCAGGAGCGGTGCGGGGACTGATTTTGAGCGGATTTGGCTTCGCCCTCCCCTACTGGCCAATCCTCTGGGGCCCCAGCCAGTTCAGACCCTCAGGCCGGCTCCAGCATCAGCACACACGTTCGGAGGTCTGTGCAGGTTCCTCGGCTCGGAGCGCGCTATGGGGGCGGCGGAGGATGCACCGGTGGGGGGCTCCATCGCCGATCCGCGAAATCCGCTCGGACCTCCGGGTGTTCATTCTGATCCCATTCTTCATAGAAAATACAATGGTAATCGTAACAAGAGTAGTAGTAGCAGTAGTAGTAGTAGTAGTAGTAGTAGTAGTAGTAGTAGTAGTAGTAGTGGTAGTAGTAGTAGTAGTAGTAGTAGTAGTAGTAGTAGTTGTTGTTGTTGTTGTTGTTATTCGTAGAAGTAGAAGTAGAAGTAGAAGTAGAAGTGGAAGTAGTAGTAGTAGTAGTAGTAGTAGTAGTAGCAGTAGTAGTAGTAGTAGTAGTAGTAGTAGTCGTAGTAGTAGTAGTAGTCGTAGTAGTCGTAGTAGTAGTCGTAGTAGTAGTAGTCGTAGTAGTAGTAGTAGTAGTAGTAGTAGTAGTAGTCGTAGTAGTAGTAGTAGTAGTAGTAGTAGTAGTAGTAGTAGTAGTAGTAGTAGTAGTAGTAGTAGTAGTAGTAGTAGTAGTAGCAGTAGTAGTAGTAGTCGTCGTAGTCGTAGTCGTAGTCGTAGTCGTAGTAGGAGTAGTAGTAGTAGTAGTAGTAGTAGTAGTAGTAGTAGTAGTAGTAGTAGTAGTAGTTAGTAGTTAGTAGTTAGTAGTTAGTAGTTAGTAGTTAGTAGTTAGTAGTTAGTAGTTAGTAGTTAGTAGTAGTAGTAGTGGTAGTAGTGGTACTATTCGTAGTAGTAGTAGTAGTAGTAGTAGTAGTAGTTGTAGTTGTAGTAGTGGTAGTAATCTTTGTGGTAGTAGTAGTAGTAGTAGTAGTAGTAGGAGTCGTAGTCGTAGTGTTGGTAGTAGTACTATTAGTAGTAGTAGTAGTAGTAGTAGTAGTAGTAGTGGTAGTAGTACTAGTAGTAGTAGTCGTAATAGTAATAGTAGTAGTCGTCGTAGTAGTAGTAGTAGTAGTAGTAGTAGTAGTAGTAGTAGTGGTCGTCGTC